GACATTCTTATTCTTACCGGCGGAATTGAGAACTGGTCGATTGTCAGAACACGCGGATTAATTTATATTTGTACATTTCTACGGATCGAGTTATATGTATTTATGTTCGAGCATATATTTCTGTCCGACGCAAAATAGTGACACTGTTTTGCATCCATGCATTAAAAGTCCCATAATTCCATGGCGCACTGACCGATCTTCGTTAAATGCCCCTGTGGCCTCTGGAAGGATGGAACAGTGCGTTTATGCCGTCGAAATCGGGAGAATTGACAAGACACTGAATTACATTTGATTGGGTATGTTCTCGGAACATGATATAGCTCCCCTGCTTTTTGTCTTCAGAATGATTCGATGGTTATACACAATAACTCAGAGTCAAATGAAAAACAAAGGTAAGTTCATCATCGTTCAAATGTCGGTCTCTTTTCTCTTTCACGATTGGGCTGTTTTGACGATCTTCTTTTCATTAAGTTGCTGATGCGATGCTGATCTCCATTTCTATGCCACCAGCCAAGAATTTCTTATTTTTTTTAAAGGCACAGTCTACAGCCATGTGGCAAGCGTACCGGTACCCTCCTGTTTCTTTCCCCCTAGTACTCATTTATCAACCTTGGAAGGGAAAAGGACCAGAGACCCCACGCGGGGCTTGAACTCGGTGCATACCGGTTTGTTCAGCGGAATTCGTGAATAAGACATAGATTTGCCTGGAGCGCCTCCAAACTCGGCACCACTAGATTTCGAAGCAGACTGTATTCCAACACGCTTCTGAGACACTATGCCAAAGCGCCACAGGTAAGGAAATGTATTCGGTTCATGGTGATTGTCAGATGACTGTTCTAAGCATTTAACAAAATCCCTATCCTCCGTAACCAGGGCCGTCTGAACCTGTGAAATTTTAAAACTTAGTCACTATATGCTTTTTTTCCTGGATTATTTGAAGATCCATAAGTCGCGCATGAAGGAGATTACTTTTCTCGAGCAGTTGTTAAGTTGGCTTGACAGCGAATATCATGACGAATGACAGGAAAATGTGGAGCAGGTTAACTCGATTACCAGACTTCTGTTAGGAAAAAGAAGAGAAGAAGAAGAGTGAATCTCATACATTTTTTTGCATAAACCGTCATTGCTATAATTGTGAATGACGCATAACCATATGTCAGAAAATCATAACCGGATGTCATGGGATATTGCACTGCATTCTTGTTCAATCTTTCATCCATGAGAGGGGGGGGGCGTCATTTAAACAGGTCACGACTCCATCGTATTTGAACACTCGCAGCGCCAGATGCAAGTGCATCATTTTTCCGCTAGAATCACGTTGGGCTCATTGCTAATAATATTACGGCGGTTGGCACTGTTGATATGCTAGTGCTTGAACATCATAGTATGTTTGTTCGCAGGAGTATATCAAATGTCTCCTCCGAGACCAGATAAGTGCGAATGTGCTTGCATTAGGAAGTCATGAAGGACACTTAAATTCTAGATAAATGAACACAATGCGGCCTTCACAAACAGACTTTCTCTGTACTCTAGTTTTGTTCCTCATTCCTTGGACAGTAGCCAACGAAACGGTGGATGGAAATAGTGTTTTTCACTCACCTTGAGAGAGACAAAATTAATTCGTTAGCAGAGAATGAGTGCACGTCGCAATTAGCAACACCTAACAGCAGTTTGTATCGAGTACATGAAACTACTCTATTTGCGGTCTCGTTGTTCTTGCGTGCTCGTGTTTGTTTCTCTGTCTGACCCCTGGCGTGGAACTTCGTTATTTCTTTGCCCTATGGAAAGGCGTTGTTGTGCAGTCGAAACGTTGTAAGCAGTAAATTTTGCTTTAGTAGTGTTCCATCAGACCGCCATTGCTTCAGAACATTGTTCAATCTATTTGTACAGTGTCTCTGAAAGGGGATATTCACAAGATTTAGTCAACTAAGTTGTCTCTGGCAGCTTCCCCCATTTCAGCTGCACCAAAGTGCAATAGGAATGTTCCCGCAGTCCCTTTTATTTTCGCCATGTCTGAAGAAATGTTCAGATTTTCCGAACATTGTGGGCTCAGTGTGTATTTCTTCAGAAGACGCACACTGGGAACTGTGAAGGAGGTTTGACCATCATCGTCGCATGTCAGCTAACCGTGTTTTTACTACCTTAACGGTATTAACCGTCATGTGTGTTTGTATCTTGAGCACCTCCAGCACCGACCGGTTCCAAGAGATTTGAAGCGAACAATACCACTTTCCACGTTCGGCATTGTTGTTAAAGACAGCTAACAGTCAGACTAAAAGTTCATCATTTTTATTTATTTATGTAATAACATAAATATGCTCATTTATTAATATTGCACATGCATGCTTCATTATATAATATAGTTTGTTACAGCAGTTATGGGGTAGTAAACGCCAATTGGTTCTAAAACTTTCGTTCATCAATTTTGGACCAATTGTTTATCAGTTTAATAACTTGTTAAAACTTAGTTAGGTCAGTCGTATGTACTAGTTG